TTTTTTTTTGGTCTAAAATTTGGTACAAAATTCTCTTCCTTAAAATATTATTGTGGAGATTAAATAAATATAACGTATAGGAGGGTTCTTTACAAATTATATGAAAACAGGTGAAGTAACTTATTACTTTTTCAAGAATGTAAAGATGGCTTTCAGCAAAACACTATTCACATATATGTACAAAAACTTAACTGAAATAATTTCTTAAATATTACAATTAGCTATATAAGTCAGCTTTCTGTCACTGTGACAAAATGCCTGAGATGGTTAACGTATAAGAGGGAAAGTTTATTTTGGCTCATAGTTTGAGAAGATGGTTACTTGGTCCTGTTGCTAGATGGGCCTGTGGAGGAGGCACAGTGCATCATGGTGAGAGCATGGAGTAGAGGAAATTGCTCACCTCCTGGCGGTCAGGAAGCAAAGAGAAATATAGGAAGGGGCTAGATCCCCAAATTCCCTTCTAGGGCTCAGCCTGTTACCAAATTTCCTTCTACTAGGTCCCTCTCCTAAAGTTTCCACCACCTTCCAATAGCCCCATAGGCTGATAACCATGCCTTCAACACCTGAGACCTTTAGGAGAATTTCAGATCCAAACTACAGCACTGACCAAAGGCGCAGACTACTGGAGGAAGTTGGAAAGATTCAGTTGTTTCCAGTTTGAAAATATAGAAGGCACAGGAATGTTGAAGGGGAAAGTGACGCCATTCTTCATAATGCAAAGTACAGAGTGTCCTTTTGGAGGCTCACCAGGAACACAAGTTGGATCTCCCAAGAGAGAGAGGGTACATTCAGTGCAGACAAAGAACAGCCTCACAGCTTATCAAAATATGAAAACATAGCCACACGAGATAACTTGAATACAGGGGGTTGTTTGGTGTCTTTGTTTCATGCCACAAAACCATGTCCCTGGGAATCAGGGATGGAATTGGAATTAATTGTATCAGTTACAGTTCCCATAAGTCATTACCTTGCCACACCAGGGATGTAATTCAGAAAGGGGCAATAGAAATGTGTGGTCAAGAGGAAAATGGAGCAGACTTTAATTTAAAGATGTTGCTTGGAAGCATAAAAATGTTGTTTGGAATCCTACTGTATTCTGCGTGTTGGAGGTGATGGAGGGTCAGCAAATCCAATTCTTACACCCATGAAATGAAAGCAAGGGAAAAGTGGTGGCTTTCGAGGCAAAGATGAAAGAAACAGAGCAATGCATTCCAGCTCTGTACACTCCAAGAAAAGTTTAGGATGACAGATGGACAGCATGAAATGAAAATAGAGTTTCCAGTGACATTACAAAGAAAAGATGATACAATGGCCTTTTCCTGATTAATCACAAGATTAAAAGCTAAAGAACATAGATCTAAGCAGCTTCTTGGCACAGACGGAAAAAATTCATCCCAGATTAAAAAAAAAAAAAGGTGGGGGGGGAAGTAGGAAGGCATTTCCTATTTTTAGTGTTTTTGTAAATACTTTGGTGCCACTCAAAAGGGAATGAGGATTGCCAAGGAAGCTAAATGGCCTGTAGCCCAGAGAACGGTCATTTCCTCAAGAGACAATGTCTGGGAAGCTTTCAGTAAGCTAAAAGGGAATGTGTGCTTCCTACAATTTCATACTCTAAGAAAATGTACACCTCATCTAAAGTTCTAACTTCTATCCAGCTTCCTAGAGAGCAGTTATAGACTCAAACCCTAGATAGAGGTGGATAAGCCATATTGGTTAACATGGAATTTCAAAGCTAAAGACGGCCAGGAGAGTGACCCCAGGAGGCCAAGCTATCTCTTTATGTCTTTGGGCTCTGCCAAGCTCATAGGTATTTCTCAAAATTGCAGAATGTCCCGAGTGATCATTCCTTTCTAACACTTCCAGGACATTTTATTTAAGCTCTTGGATATTTGATGTCTGTTGGAACATTTCAGCTCTGACTTCCTAGGAAGAAGCAGCTTCTAGTTTAGAGACAGGGGTTAAGGGAGGTTGTAAACTAGGTGCCTTGTAAAAATGTGAAAGAGCTCTATGTTGCTTCTCAGGAAATAAGGTAGAAGACGCTGGGGGTGAGTCTGAATGGAAGGAGCTGGACATAGGCTCAGTATGTGGATTAGAATGAAGGAAGGAGGATGCAGAGATAGGGCCTGATGGGGGGTCATAATTCAGGGAAGGCTGACTGGATTCTACCTTATACAGTTGACCCTCCAATATATTTTGGTTCTGTTATCTGCAGATTCAACCTCAGATCAAAGAATATTATTCACTAAAACAATATAGTATAACTGTTTGTATAGCATTCATGTTATATTAATTATTATAAGTAATACAGAGATGATTTAAAGCACACACAGGAAGATGTGTATAGGTTATGTGCAACTATTATGCTATTTTACCTGAGGGACTTGAGCACCTATAGGTTTTGGTATCCGTGGAAGTCCTGGAACCAATGCCTTGTGGATGCTGAGGGATGATAGCATCTGAGTTTTGCAGGACAGAGTATTGAAAAACACATTGTATAAAGAACGGGATCTCAATTTCAGGCATGTGTGATTTTTTAAGCAAATCAAGGGATAAAAATGAGGTGACTTCTACACAATGAACTCTAATTTTCAATTTACTGAACTCTCACCTAAGATTTGGAGAAAACTTAAAACTCTGTGAGTCTCCAGTTTTCCCCGTTAATGGAATCATTTAGACACCAGCAGCTTTGGGGGCATATAGGAAACAAATATAGATGTAACAGGACTGAGAAAATAACATGAGTGCCCAACACAGCCCAGTCACGCACCCCTCAAAGAGCCTCACCAACAACACACTTGCAAAACCTTTCTTCCGTTCCTCTCAAGTCCCAGCAAACCTGGGGCCGCTGGGCTCCTGCAAATCCTTTTACAGAAAGAGCTATCGAAATCTGTTTAAACGATCTATTTCTCTGGTTGTTTTCTTTCCAGTGTTTTTTCTTTCAGGTATTCTTTGCTAACAATCATAACAAAAATATCTATTCTAAAATAACCAAGATGTTATGACTAAAAATGCCAGAGGTATATATATATATCCAGTTTATGAGAGAAATTGCTTTTTAAAGAGGAGTTAGGTTTATCTTCTGTGGAGGAAGGCAACATTTCTACAAATACTATAGTTGCACTAAGAAAATAACCAACTACTTTCATTAAGAGTATGAGACAAGATTTGTATTTGTTCGTGTAATTGAATTTAATGCTGCTGAAATTTGTCAGAAAGCTATTGGAGTTTAGACCATATTTTTTACAGTTAGGAATACTGCCTAAGAAGTTGTCTTTCCGTTTATGTAGAGCAGGACTTATGCTGACCTTAAAAGGGTCATGAATCAATCACTGTATGAATTTGCATAATGATGATGGCATCAAAGAGTACCTCCCACAACTCTATTTTTTATTGTATTTACTTATTTATTTTCAGCGCTGGGGATTGAACCCAGGGGCACTTTATTATTGAGCTAAACTCTCAGTCTTCTTTTTAAAAAATTTTTATTTTGAGGGACTCGCTAAGTTGCTCAGGCTAACTTGCACTTATGATCCTCCTGCCTCAAGCCTCCAGGGTCATTGGGACTGCAGACATGTGCCACAGCACCTGGCCAATCAACATTTGTGGGTCCTGCTTATGGTCTGCCTACCAATTCACTGTTTGCCATATGGTGCTCTATGCTTACTTACGTACCATTGCCCCTAAAATGTAGACTCATGAACGGTTTATGCTTCTGAAACTAGTTTTTCCCTCTCTAGGGCCAAGTGGGTCACTATTTCACCAACACATCTCCATCTTATTGACTTCAAATTTTCAGAAGAACTTCCATTTCATATTTAAAATATCGTGCTTAGTGTTTTTTTTGTGTTTTTTTTTTGTTGTTGTTCTTGTTTTTTTTCTCTTATTTTAATGGTATATCCAATTAGGAAAACCTGAAAATAGGGAAACTTATAAAGAACACAGCAACAAACTCCACTGTAATTGTACTAGCCTAAGCCAATAATTATTAACATGTAGGTGTGTTTCCATATAGTCTGTTTTTTTTTTTAAAATAACTTTTGTTGAGTCTACTTTAAATACCTTTAAGTTCATATATCCTAAGTGTCTATTTCAGTGATTTTTCGACTTGTGTGACCACCTTCCAGAAATTTACTTTTAGAACACTGTTCTTATTTCTTTCTGAGGTAAAATGGATATAAAATAAACCATACATAATTACATATGCAATTGAAGAAGTTTCTTACACTCACATGCACACACATCCACACATCTGTGAAATCATCATCAGAATCAAGTTTATGAACATATCCAACATCAAAAGCTTTCCTATCTCTTTATAATCCCTCCCTCTACCTGGCCTCCTTGGTCCCCAGGTAACCACAATCTGGTCTGTATCACTAGAGGTTAGTTTGTATCCATAATTTGTTCCTTAATATTCTTAGTATCTCATTGTATAAATATACTCTTGTATAAATATAATCAACTCACCTACATAGAGAAATTTTCCTTGTATCCAGTTTTATCTGTTACAAATAAAGCTGCTATAAACATGTGTACTTCGTGAATGGACATGTTCTGTTATTTCTCTTGAGAAACTACCTAAGAGTGGAATAGTTGAATCATATGATAGGTGTATATTTAACTTGTTAGAGACACTATCAAACTGTTTTTCAAAGTGGTTACACCATTTTGCATTCCCACCAGCAGTGTAAGAGTGTTGTATTTCCTTCACAACCTTGAGATCATTTGGTATGGTCTGACATTTTAATTTTGACCATGTAAGTGGGAGTTCAGTGGTATCTTCTTGTAGTTTTTTTTTCATTTCCCCAATAAATGATGCCAAACATCTTTCATGTTTTTATTTGCCATCTACATTATCAACTTTGTTAAAATTTTTCCTTGTTTTCTTTTCCCTCTTTTTAAAATTAATGCACTATAATTATACATAATAGTGGAGTTTGTGGTTACGTATTCCTAGATGCATACAGTAAAAGAATATAACATCTATCTCTGTCTCTCACCTGGGTTCACCTTGGTTGATGGACATATAAATCTCCCAAGAGTTCTCCTCTGGAATGGCACCATGTGGTATGAGTAAACTCACCCCTAAGACAAAAAATGCAAGAGGTTATTCAAGGTATTCCAATTGTTTTAAAGTACAGCACTTAAGTACCTTATAGCTACCCACAACAAAGAGCCTTCTCAAGGCAATTTGTGAAATTCTAATCCTTAGAAGGTTTATAAAGTCCATTGTTTTATAATTGTGACATAGATAAGGGCATATTATTCCATTGAGTATTAAAATCAGTTTCTTTTCTAAATTTTAAATCTTTCCAACATTATTTATCTATAAAAGACTGGGTGTCCTAAAACCAGGCACCATCAAACATATCTGGGAATGTTTATATATATATATATATATATATATATATATATATATATATATATATATATATATATATATATATACACACACACACACACACATACATACATACACACTTATATTGCTATAATACATATATATAAAATATGTATAGTTATATATATAAAACATATCTGAGAATATTGATACATCAGTTGATCTGCTCCCAAATTTTAAAATGTATTTATCTTGTTTGTATCCACTCACTTCTAGAAATGTACCTGGGATAATGGGTGAGCTAAGATTTGCGTGAACCTGTTGTGAATTGTGCATCAGGAAGCAAGATGAGGTGGTACTCAGAGGCCTATGCAGTTTGCCAAGAAAACTAGGAAAAATAAAAGCATCTGATAAAAGCTGAGGAACCTTTTAGGTTATTGTGTAACCAATATGGTCCTAAATTTGCAAACAGAAGCTAAAAGAGTTAAGCTAAAAGTGACTTAACCACATTCATATTAATGTGAAATTGCAAAAAAACCCATGTGTTATGAGCGAAATCACATAATGCAAGGAGGAAAGGCATAGGAAGTCACATCACACTGCATTTTAAATGTCCCCTCTCTTCTCTTGAATGCAGTGAGGAAAATATTTCACTTTGGCCAAGAGAGATGTCTAGGGAGAGCTGAGATTCTTTTTAATGTAGTTTCTTGTTTATAAAAAGAAATGAAATAGAGTAATAGTATAATCTTTACAAAATAAAATCTCAGGGCATCCTATTTTTTGAATAATGCATCTCCTCATCTTTTTTTTTTTCTCTCTTTCATTAGAGTTAATCACACAAAAAGCTTTCAGGCTGCTGCTGCTAATTTAAATCTAGAGATGGCAACTTTTTTTTTTTTCTTAGCCTTCTACGTGCCTGTATTAGCAGCTATACAGTTGAGGAATGCAAGACTCATTGCAAAACAAGTTATTTGTGATTCCCATATATGAGCAATATTTAGTAACATGCTAGTTATCATTAGTATCTTTCAATAGCACTAAGAATGAGGCACATTTAAATCTTGCTCACAGCCTTACAGCAAGGAGACCCATTTATATTCTGGACCTTAACATCAGTATTAGGAGAACTCTAACTGACACACTTAGGGACCTCCAATCAGGAAGGTGCCTCCTTGCATTTTCTAGTTTTCCTTAAACATAGTTGCCAAAAGAAGGGGCCTCCATGATATCCTTTCCTGCTATTGAACACAAGTTGCAATGCAGAGGATATTCGGTGTGTTTGGCTGTCGACCTGAACATGCCCTAGTTATTCTGCCTTGTCTTAGTTTGACGTAGCACTTTCTCTGCTGCTGCCTTCCTTCAGGCTCTCTAGCCCACGATGACAAAGACACAAGCAACCCCTACTCTTCATAATGCCACATCACATCAACAACACTTAGCAGAATGCCTTGCATAGAGCAGCAACACACTAAACAGATCATACACACATGAATAAAGAGGGGAATTCAAAATTCCTGGTAAAAACACCAGGCTGCAAGTCTTGTTGTCTGGTGTTGATCATCATGGCTTAATGATCTACTTCCAGATCCAAAGAGAAAGAATATGAATGAAGCTATCTGAAAAGGGGCTATTAGGCAGCACATCATGTCTTTGTTCTTTCAAGTTAGCTTAATTCCCTGGGTTTAGATTGAAACATTATTCATGATACTCCTAAATTCAACCAGAATCTACAGGATAATTGGAGCTTTAAACTATTTTTTCTCTTCTTCAATCAGAAATTATATTATTATTATTATCTGTCAAACATACTTCCTTCCTCCTACCCAAACATGCAAATTGTATGCAGAGCCTGAAGACAGTCAATCAAGGCAAGGGTTGTAGAGGAAGGGAGTATTGTTGGCAAGTTATATATATTATGAAGAATGAGAGGCACTGTGGGAAAGTTTTATGCCTATGGTTTCTTAAAGAAGTATTCATTTTCAATATGTCATTCACTAGTTAACTCTGATCAAAGAAAAATATATTCCCCCCCAATTCCACCTGCTACTCTGACAGCCTTTTATTTGATATGACAACAGAACCACCTGTCTGAGTTTCTTGTTTCATATTTTGCATAATAAATCATTTCTAGCATGTGCCATATGACAATTTGGGATGGATGGCATTAGAACAATCTGATTTCTATGTGTTGCTTTCTTTATCCCCAGGGCATATTTTTCATTTATATCCTGCAAATAACAGGAGATATGTTTCAACTCCCCACATTTATTTTTCCCCAAACACATTCATAGACTCTTGTTCAGTGCTCCTTGTCAAGAACTTTGAAAATTCCCCTTTCACAGATTAGGTGTGTGGGAATCTTTCACAGAGCTATCAGAGTTCTTAGTTTTCAGCTTGGGTCTTTGTTAAGTCAGAGGGGGAGGAAAAGAAAGCTCTTTGGTTCATCATGATTTAATCTCTTCACTTTCTTTAATGAACATAAAATAAACATAGCTGATGAGTGGGTTGGTCTGGGCATTCCTTCGATATATGTAGAAGATACATGTGTACATACACACACATACACACACTATAAAATGATGAAGGGAAGAGAAAGGAGGAGGACTGGCCAACCTATTCAATTCATAACTACTGAGACAATGCCAATCATGAGCTAGGAAGAGGACATAAGGTAAAAGCAGAATGATTCAATGCATGACTTTGTATGAGTTATGATGTGTGTATCTTGTTCTTTGAGAGGGTAGGGGATGTGTCTTACATTTCTTCATCCAGAACACACTCTTGTAACTTATGAAACCTTACAGGGAGAGTACTTGGTAAATATGGTTGACTGATTCACTCTACATTGAGTCATCAAAAGAAGAGTGACATCATATGCAAACATTTATACACTGATGCTCACACATATTTCAACCAAGATCCTTTCATGTCCAAAAACACTAACCAAGAAAGGTATGGAGGATTGGAATTTTATCCAAACATAATCATTAGGGTGGCATTAGAGGGTTATTTAAAAGAAGTAAAACAGATTTTGAAATGACGTTTAAAGAAAGTAATTAATTTGGGAGAGAATGAACAAGTCAACATTCATCAACTTAAGGAAAAGTTGAGTTTCAAGTTAGTAAACTGTTAGAGAGGTCAGTTAGCTATAACAATAATATTGGACTAGTCCTAGTACAGATTTCATTTTATGAGATAAAATTTTGGTTAGCTTTACTTTAGAGAGAAACCTGCCACAGCCTTGAATCTGTGCTAATCTAACGATGCTTGCAGATCCAATGGCCCCATCCCTCTCATCCAGACACCCTGTGACTCAGCACACTACCCAATTCTCATTGCTTAGGACTCAGGGGACAAAGTGAAATTCTGCCACCCACTTAAGTCCCAGGCTGCAACTCCAAAAACTAATCCACAGTTAGGACGTCATTTTAAAAGTGAGCTGAGCTGGGCACCTTATGTGTCCTGCAAAACATCAAGAAAATCTCCTCTCTTCCAACCCAAAGAAAGAAAGAAAATACTTGGAAATAAATTGTGCTTACAACATAGCCCAGGAACTGAAGTGGCAATTCAAAGGAGCAGCTTTGCAATGACTATTCATCATCGCTCATCATGAAGTAACATGCTTAGCAAGGTCTATGAACACTGAGTGTGTTTATTAGGTCATTTGCTGATGAAATGAGACTGTCATTGCATTAAATTATCTATTAGCATATAAGCCATGCAAAGCTATAAACATGGTACTTGTTGTGGTCATGCCAAAGAATAATTTTGGGGCTACCTGATCATGCCCTAGGTAACATATTTCAAAGGGGCTTAAACCCAGGGGACTACCTAGACACTTTCAGCTAATATGGCTACCAACTCTAACAGGCATTTAAAACATTCTGAGATAACAACCACAAAGCCTAATCTTAGCCTTGGTCCTGGTGTGCTGTGTAAATCAAATAGACCAGTAGAGTGGTGGCATTTCTGTTCTGACAAAGGGATGATAAACATCATAAAATGAATTTGACAGGATATAATTATACGAAGTATTTAAACAAACTCTGGAAAGTACACAGGCACACACTTACCACCCACCTGTATTTGGCATTACTAGGCGCCCTCCTAAATGGCCAAAGACACCAGTTGTCCTCAGTTCTGTCCTTGTGGGGAGTGATGACAGATTTTGGATGTATGGCGTTTTATTTCGGTGATGCATTGTACTAAAGCTGCGGTTGTTTCCATGGGGAAATGTCCCAGAGTGATTCTTGCCGTGGTACTCGGCTCTCTCTGACACTCCCAGAGAAACCATGAATGAGCTCTGCACTTTGACTTTGATGTCCGACAAAGGGTTGAAGAGGGAGGACTCTGTCATGAGTTCCTTGTCCAGTGGGTCCTGTAGACAGATGGGACCACTGTATGTTCGGCTCACTGTCAGGTCTGGTTGCATGGCAGAATTCAGGAGCAGGGAGTTACCTGGTTAAAAAATATATATATACTGATCTGTCACTCAGAAACTACAATACCTCCATTACCCTTTTACAGCTGCCTTCTCTAACTGCAGGCCCACCCTGAGAAAGCAGAGTGGCCACAACAGGTTGGTTCTTAGTGACCAACACCTTGAAACTCTGGCCCTACTTCCAGTCCATTCTTTCAATGCTGCCAGACTAAATCCTTCACCTTCTGAGATCTTTACATGCTTGATTTGGAAAACAAATATTTCTGGCACTCTGGCAAGTAGCTCAGGTATTGTTGTTCATGTGATTTTAACTGGCAAAGAAGAGCTAAAAAAAAAAAAGATGTTTTGCAATCCAGTTCAGAGAAAAATAACATCTGTTCATTTTAAATGGCAAGAGATGACACAGCTTGGTGACTAGGTAGTGCCGTTTATAATGAAGCTGCCTGGTTTCAGCACATTTTTCGTGGAATTCTGGGCACTTTCTGGAGCTGCAGGAGGACATGATGTGTCCTCAGAGCAAATGGTTCAGGGGACCTCATGAATCGCTTCATGTCTCAGTAGCCAATTCACTTGAACATTGCATATGTCACCGAGAGGAAAACAATACTCCATATGGGGACAAAAAGCAACTCAGATTCTATGTGGGGAGCAGCTCAGAACAGTCTCCTTTCTGTCTGAAAACAAATGAAAAAAAAACAATCTTTACAAAAGCATGAGAAATTGGACTCTGTCATCTGTTGGGGAGCACCAATTTTTTCTAAGCCAAATATTAAAAAGAAATGCTGTGATATTTTTTTGTGATGAAGTAATCTCATTTATTAGTAAATAACAAAATAACCCTCAGTCCCAAACCTCCCACCCATATCAGTCCGTCAATGTGACATCTCAAATTGAAACCCAAACCATATTAAACAATTTTCCTTTGGGGCCTGACAGAAATGTTTAAAGTATGGTATTTTTGAAAATGTTGCAATTCTAGGCCATATTGTAATTTTCATAATTTGTAACAATGCCAGCAGGAAATCTATAACCCTGACTTTTACCACCTCTTATTCGGATGCTCTAAGACTGCAAAATCACAGAGAAAATGTACAAATGAGATGAAATAATGCTGCAAGATCTAATGTCTCCTTGTGGTGTATTTCTTCCAAGCTTGGAGCTACTGTGCCAAGACAAAGGCCAATCAAGTCTCTGTGTTTTGTAACAGAACCACATTGAGTTCTATAGCTTAGGAACCATGTTCTTGTTTATGGTCTCCCCAGGCAAGAAGTGGGACTGCGGAATGATCCCATGTCAGAAAAGAGTTGGGAACTGACGTTTCCATGGAGACTTCAAGAATTATATGTCCAAGTTTACCAAGCCCTCACCTACTGAAACTTAAGTTTTGGTTATTCTTGAAAGACTCTCTGAGCTCTTGTGAAGCAAACAAACGAAAAATATTTCCTAGAATTAGGTAGCACAGACGTGGAGAATGCTTGATAATAAAGGTACGTACAGGGCAGGGGATGTAGCTCAGTGACAGAGTGCTTGCCTAGCATGCACGAGGTCTTGGGTTCCATCCCCAGCCCTGGAAAAAAAAAAAAAAAAAAGCATATACATATGACACGGTCCACAGTTGAAGAATGGGCACAGTTAAAGAATGAAGTTGGGATGGGCAGGGGTGAGTGATTGGCCCTGATCAGACTTCAATCTACTCTTTGAAAATCTATTTTCAAGTTCTTAGTCTACTATAAGCATAACATTCTATTTTATGGGGCTGGGAACTGAAACCTGGGCCTTGTGCAAGGCAGGCAGGTGCTCTACCACTGAGCTGCACACCAGGGCATTAACAGTCTCATTGTTTCCCTTTCTGCAGCACCAGATATATTGTTCATGAACAGATATGCCTAAGACACTGCCGGTGAAAGCCACATACTATGCATATGAGGTGTATCATCACAAGGAATATAGGGATAGTAGCAGCTACCAAAGGATTCTTTCCTATATCATTCGTTTAGTGAGATCCTTGATCAAAAGTAAACAAGGTGGTCAGACAATTTGGCAAGGTAATGTATTCATTTAGAGAATGACAATACAAAATTCCCTTTCCTCCCCAAATGTGCACAGACTAGGCAACGGCATTTTTACTTGGTGCTCATGAAGCAGGATGGCAGCCTGTACTGAAAGTATCATCTTCCAGAACCATGTTCACTCCATTTATGAGCACTTGCCATCCATGCACCAAGGGATTATATGGGTTATTCTAAACAATTTTATCCTCACAAGAACACTATGAGGTGGATGTTACTATCCGCATTTCACAGCTATCAAAATTGAGACTCGAGATAAACGACTAGGTTGCAAAGCAGTTTTAGACTCAAATCTGACTTAATTACTTTATTTATTTATTTATCTGTATACAACAGGGACTGAACCCAGAAGCACTGAGCCACATCCCCGGCCCTTTTTATCATTTATTTTGAGACAGGATCTCTCTGAGTTATTTAGGGCCTCTATAAATTGCTGAGGCTGGCTTTTAATTTGTGATCCTCCTGCCTCAGTCTCCCAAGCCACTGGGATTACAGACATGTGCTTCCATGCCCAGCTCAAATCTGATTTTAAAGACTGAGGATTTATACATAAAACTCTCACATAAATGTATTTCCTCTAAATTCATTAAGTGTTATGGTCTAAGATACTGACATTATTTGATGGAAATATATTTCTAGTTTCTGATGTAGTACAAAAATTAATTCTTCACTAGCTGCATTTTTAATTAAATCATACATATATAGTAAACAATATATCCAAATCTAGGGGATGCATTCTTATCAGAGGCCTAACACTGAGGTGTTCAAATATAAATGGCAAGAAGAGTAACTCGACTCTTTGGCCATTTCTCAATTGTTTTTTTCTAGCAAGTTTGGGTTTCCCTTTGAGCAGCTGTCTCCTCAATAAATGCTAAACACTGAGACTTTGCAACCTGGGTCATATGTGGTACTGATACACAGTACCACATGTATCAAGGGTCAAGATTGAAAACGTCGTCTTCTGAAGAGTGACAGTTCCATTTTCTCTAAAACAAAAGCCACATATGTCTCATCCTCACCTCACAGTAAGCAAAATATTTGGTTCATAAAAGGGAATTAACTGACTTTATTTTGAAAGGTAGTATTGGTATGTTTGGCATGCTAGATGTTCCTTCCCCCACAACAAAAGAGTTGTTGGACTAGGCAAGAGCTGAAAGTCATTTCGGCTGGTATTTAGTTTGTGTCCCTTGCTAACTGACCCATCCTATATCTTCTGTGATCTTCTTACTTATTTAAAACAGAGGAAAAATATATAGTATAATAAATATGCCAGGGAGGTTGTGGTCTAGGGCTTGGTCCTCAGCCTGGAGTAATAGTATAGTATTTTAGTTAACTAAATTAAATTATATCCTCCAATCAGGCTTCTTAGTGGAGAAAGTTAGATAATTTGAGGTAAAATAACTCATTAAACTCACTATATATCAAAAATGGAATTGCCTCATTTATAAATGTTGCTAATGATGAACTGAGATCCATTTGTCCTCACTGATGCTGAGGACCTAAGCAGACCTCCCTGTCAAGCCTGGTGTCCTGTCAAGCCTGGTAGCGGCTCCCAGTGCCAACAGCTACCTTCACACAGGGCCAAGGAGAACACTGGGGGCCCTGTGGGAGTGTAGTTTATGGTCCTGAGGGCGAGGTATTAGGGGACCTGCGCCGCTGACCTTGACGGACTGTTTTGAAGTTGAAGGTCTGGAAGCCACCTGTCAATGCAGAAGAGTCAATGACGTCCACGCCATAGTCACTCTGGCTCCGTCTATACAGGGTGACACCAATGACCAGGACTGCAACGGCCACAACTGCAGCACCCAGGCCTGAGTACAGGGCAATGTCGCTGGCATTCTCGATGCCTGAAAGACACAAGAGAGACCTTAAGTGGCCAACGTAAGTGCAGAGCCAATGAGCCACGCTGGGATGCAAAATGAAATGCTATTGAATTTTTGGAGCCACTGCTCAGAGAAAATGACATATGTAGCTAGCCACACAAGTTGTACTTTCATTCACACAGTAATCATGTTTCTGAAATGCCTTGTATAAATCAAAGTGATGCTAGTCAAATATCTTAACTGCATTAAGGTAGCTTACCATGTAATAGACTCTTGCAGAGAATCAATTTTGCAAAGAACATAATATTTTTATAGTGAATGCAGACAACTCCTTAACTTATTTTAGGAAGTCATATTTACCTGCAAAATGCTTTTTCTATCTTATTTTTATTTGAGGGAGGACAGACTCATACAAATGACAGAAATAAATGGGTGACTATTCTGCTTATACATGACTTGGGGCACATGCATTTATGGAGAAGGGTCTAAGGTAAGAAGCTAACATATGATCTGTGAGTCAAGAAACAGAGGACCAGAGTTCACAAATATTAATTTTAGCTTTGTTACAAATCATTCAGATTCAGAGAACACTGATGACCTCAGTTTAGGGATACACAATCATTATGAGAGATGAAAGTCTTGGTTCCAGGGGTTCTATGTCCATGTAAATAATCTCTGACACCAATTAAATGCTAGCTGCTAACACTTCATTGTGGAAGCAGACTGGTCTCTAAGAAGGCACATGCTGTTTCTCCCATACCTCTCCTACTCCATCCTATTGAATGCATGGGCAAAGCAAAAATAAAAGCGTTAGTTTGGATTTAGAATGTGGGTGTCTCCCCACCACCCCCAGAATGTGCTGCCAATACTTTTCAACCTTTACAAGATGTGCCCTGGGTATGGTTCATCCCTGGAATGGATTCATAGCGGTGGATTCAGCATAGATTTATTTGCAACAACATAATCCTAAAAGAGGTGGAACCTCAGAAATTGTGTGGAAATGGAAGGTGGCAAGAGCTACCTACATAATTAATCTTCCCACCGATTATGCGGTAAGTACACTTAATGGGTACCAAAGTAATTACTATGTCACCCTGTGTTGGGACCAGAGGATGAAGATGAAATAAACCCATCATATATTTACCTTGTAATTGCATGGCACTTACTATGCATTCGCCGAACCCTAATGTGGCACTTATGTTATCAAATGAGTAACACTAACCACAAAAGTAAAGTGAATTTATTTTCAACAAAGTTAGTGGACTGTAAAATAAGGTGCTCCCAAATTAAAGAGTGAATAAGGAAATCGAGCAGAACCAGTTCAGTAATAGGGCAGTAAACACATAAAAATAACTTGCAGGGGAAAGCACAACTGTTAAAAATAATAGTATCTAAAAGGTCAGAGGTTTAGCAAACATAGCTAATAACTAGAACAGCATGGTAGGTACTTGGACCTTGGTTCCAATTTCATGATGGCCCAAATGGGAGGGATGGGGATGGAGACCTACTTCTCTGATCACCCAGAAACACAGGCATGTTGAGTAATGTCCACCCTGGAATTCCTAAGTCTGCCTATGTCATTTGGAGGGAGACGGAAGGTACCCATCAGTTTGCTTGAGTCCCCATCAACTACTACTCAATGAAATTCCACAGAGAGAATAAATATACCCAGAGCATGAGGACACAGGACACAATAAAAGCATCAGGCCAGAATAGCAGGTCAGGGAGGGAACTGTGGATTCAAACCAACTAGCCTTTTTCTTCCCTTCCCTCTGGTTCCTTGGGCACTGCTGACTGATGACACTACCACCTTAAAAGGTGTATTTAGGGAGAACACACCTGCTCAGCAAATGTGCAGGTGCAGAGAAGCAGCCTGGCAGTGCACGGAATGCAGCTGCTTCACTGCTGAGCAGGCAAAGCAGAGACAAAGACACCTTTAGCTTCCAAGGTACTAAAACACGAAGGACCCGAAGCAAGGAGGGTGACCTGGGCAAAATGCCCAAGCTGAAAATGTATATCACTGGGCAGGGACATAATGAGACAGAATGCAGGAGCAGGAGTATGTTGTCACAGTTCCCCTGGGATTTCCATTTTGTCCTTACACAGCCATTCTCTTGCTACTCAGGTAACCAGAATTCTCATTCTCTCTCCAGATATAAGCCCTATTTTTAGGAAAAGACCCTACCTATGCCTTTGCACTGAACTATAAATGTTTGATAAGATTCACTGTACTTCCTCTCCCAGGAAAATTTGCAGAATCTATTTGACTTAAGTCCAGAGAATGAGATGCTAAATGATAAAATTTAAAAAATGAGTAGAGAGACTTTGGGGGTAGGTTAGGGAAAGAAGGGAGAGAGACCTGCATGGTGTGTGCTGGCTCCCCACGAGGCTCCTCTGACCCTGGGAAAAGCCAGGAGCCTGTGGAGAGGGATTTCTGTAGAAAGGTACACAAAGTATTGATTGATTTTACAAGAATATTCTGTTGTGGGAATTACAAAGTTCAGGGCATAATAATTTCATTCATTCAACAAACATTTGTTGAGGCCCGACAACGTAATAGAAATAAGGATGCATGGATGAATTCACACATGGTCCACAGTCTCAGTCATTTCTTGTCTAAAAGTCAGATGGTGATGAGACCCTGGCATTCCAGGTATAGCTGTGGAGGTGTATACAAGTACCCAAAGCCACATTTCTCATCTCAAGAGATGAAATCCAACATCCTTACCCACAGCTCAAGTTCTTCTCAAGTTGAATCACTGTGCTTCTTTCTTCTTTCTCTTGTCTTTCTTCTCATCTCTATTTACCTGCTTGCACTTCACCTCATTCTTTTTTGCTCCTTTCTTGCCTTGGCCCTACTCTTCGCTAGTCTGTCTTTCTTTAATTATAGTGTGGCTTTCCCTTTAAAAATTTCTGCATGTGCATAAAAATTGGAACAGTTCTTTTCTGTGTGTGCTCAGAACTGGTCCCAAGAAGGGCTTGAGGTTTTGTTCCACATTTTCTTTGCCAGGTTCAGGAAAGAAGGGAGAACAAGGTATGTGAGTGTGTGTGTGAGGGGGCACACAGATAGTGCCTGTGTGGAGTTATCATGTGCATGCATACATGTATGTAAATACACACTGGACTCATGTTAGAAGAATGTCAGACTGGCTGGAGAGAACCACTGTCATTCATACATAGAAGAATTGCTCCACCAACTAGACTGGACCCCATGGTCCCTCCCCAGGGCTTGATAGCTTTCTCTATGTCTCCTAGTGTTCCTGCTTTTAACTCTTTGCTACACTGTCATCCATCCCAAATTCAATTGTAATTAATAAGACTGCCAGGTGGATGCCTGCAAGATAAAGGCCCTAGGTGGAGGTTGGTTCAATCCACCAGCCTCCACCCCACTAGGCATCTATCTGTCAAGTGTGAGCCTAAGGTCCCTCTCCCCCAGGGTTGCTCTGTTCTGGCCAGTCCAGCAAATACTATCAACTCACAGTCTTCAGAACTCTTGTTCACTTGGGGTTCCTATAACTCACTTTGGATTGTAGGCTTTATTATTAATTATCTGAATTATAGTGAGTTGGTTCTCCCTAACTACTTGAAGCTCTTTAAAAGCAGTACCAGCTCTATAATTTTCCACAAAATCTTGCAAATCATTGTGCACAGGTATGCATCGGCTGCTTGCCTGGCCTCAACTGTGAGGACAGAAATAATATAGAAACCATGGTCTCAGGATGGTTTTAGAACTCCTGCTGTAAGGGTTCTCCTTCATTTACATTTGCACACCTGTATGTTATAACTATCAGTTTTCTCAGGTATACACACCACTACTGATTTGTTTGCTTCAGGTGATTTTGAACAAATATATTGACAGATCAGGCTATTCTGTTTCTTTTCATGGCTATGGGATACTTTTCTCTGACTTTCTATTTCATAAACAAGGCTTTCCATGTTAATATGTGAGATGTCTTCCCTATTTTCTTCATCCCTATTTTCCTCTATGATAGAGTCACAAAAGCTTCAGGCAAATCCTAGAAGGATTCAACACATAGTAGAAAAAAAATTTGCTGCGCAGAAATCTACCGCCATAAACAAAACAAAACCACCCAAAGAAGTAAATGAGAAGTCTCTTGTATTCTGAGTTTGTCAGAAACTACTGAGGAATGTGCTCACTGCTGGGAGGAGTGCAGATGATCTGCAGAGAAAGGTTGCAGAGATTAATAGAGAGTAGGAAACTAGGACCCTGGAGAGGACATGTTTATGTGTTCACTGGGCCTGGAAAAGGGTTGCTGTAAAGTGCTTCTTCGTGATCCTAACTCATAAATGCGTTGCTATAAGAAGAGAACAGGTCCACAGTAGGTGCTCAGTGACCATTAATTTATGAAGGAACTGGTAACCAACCCTTCCCCATCTCTAGCAATGACTGAAAAGGAGGACATGGCCTTTTATTACAGCAATTGGAACTCTGGCTAGATATTAAAATGACCTTTTCTACAATGAGGGTTGTTAAAAAATCCAACTGTATTTCTGAGGGAGACTGTGAAACCTCCTTTCAGAAAGTCTCTAAAAACCAGAAGGACTTTATAGGAGTTGGCAATTATTTTATTTTAATTTTTTGGTCAGAGCTGGTAAGAAGGACTAAGTGACCTTTCAAAGTCCCTTTGAATTTCATAGTTCTAGGAATGGGTATTAACAAATTTGATGGCTTTATGAATTATATAATCTTCTCCAGTCATTTATAGCAACGAATGTCCCTAAAGGACTCAACAGAAGGGCTGTTTACTTGATCTGCTTTCTTCGCTTTATACAATTCCCAGGTGAAAGACATCCTAGTGCCTCTTACTAATGGAACTTTAACTCAATTCCTGTGATATGAACTTAGCATATATCAGATTGGAATCTACTTTGTGGGACTCAATAAGCCACAGAGAATCAGCACAGGAGCACACTGGGTACCTTTCAAAACATGATACTCCACTTTATCTCTATTAGAGAGTACAGGACGACTATTGTCCCCTTTTTAGAAAAAAAAAAAAGGC